CGTCTCGAACGAGACGTAGTTTCTCCGGAACGGATTTTACTCGACCTGGTAATTTTTTCCCAAGCGTCGAATTTAACTAACCGTTTGTTAACTCATCGAGTGACGTTGACTAGGCATTAGTTGGGGATGGATTAAACGGGGGAACCGGGGGCTCGAATTATCATAGCTTCTAGGGCTCGTCGAGGGTGAACTCGACAGAAAATGGAACGACACCAGCGTCCGAGAGTAATCCCATAAGCGTCGTAAGTCTCGATGACTGGATGGAATAATTCCCCTAGACCTCGCCCTCTTCTTTGCCGGTGGCATCGAAATCCCCGTCACCGAGTCGACCATTTTCGGGGATTTCACGTAAACGGATCCCGAGGAGACCTCTCTTCCGTCATTCCCTCCTCTAGGAATTTACGGATTCGCCATTTATAAAACACCGTCCGTATAAAATACAACGTCCGATACACGATGTTCCTTGACGGAAATCCGGTAGAATAGTTAACGAATTCAAGCGAAACGATCGATTGGCGTAACTCGGACCAGCCATCTTGGCGTTTCCGTAAAAAGTGGACGATCCATTAATTTAATTACATCGGATTTACGCGAATTGCGCGTGCCTCGAGTTCTCACGCTCGGACAATGAGGACATTCATTCGCGGTCTGCAACAGGACCAGAGGTGGACAGCGATTCTCTCTTAGCTCTTAATCGTTCACCCGGGAATGCGCCTTTAAATGCAAACGAGGACACAGGCGTTCCGTGCTAAGCTCTTCGTATCCGTCGTCCTTTATGTCGCCGCATCTTCGCCGACTCGCCCACGCTCCTTCGGTCTTCTCTCTGACACGTGATTTTCTCCTATTCTTACGTTTTTCTCTTCGACATTCGGCGGTTGGACGAGCATCGTCGACGCTACGAGAAAATAAGTAATCCTTCGCATCGACGTAAATCCCACCGTTGGTCCCCAGCTTGGTTAATTAACAATAAATAGATACGTTTACAAAGTCGAAGTGCGTCCATCTTGGAATCGTCGACCTAGTCCCGGGGGCCTAGAATTTTGCGCGAAATCCGAGGAGGATAGGAGAGCATCTCTACCCGGTAACGAGTCCGAGAGTCGCGGGTCGAGAAGGGAGCCAGTCTCCGGTAGTAAATTCCTCGAGTCCGGTGAGGAAAGATCCACAGAGACGACGGGGACGAGGAAGAAGCCCTATTGGAGCGATCGGGACATACCCGGACGCGAAACCGCACTTCGTTCGAGCGTACTCCGGGCCCGGGGTAATAATACGCGAACAATACAGGTGACGTTACAGGTACCAAGGGTGAGACCGGCTCGGAGAGGGCGGGTGTACCCGTTACCCACTGTGTATGAAATATCAACCACCGTGAAACTCGAACGCCCTGAGAAACTTTGGCCATGCTTCCAGGGACGGTTGGCACGCCTGATCTCCAGTCTGGCGGCTGTCACCGTCGCGTCGCCTCGGGTCTCGAAATACGAAAAAATTCCCCCATAGAAATGGAATCGACTTTAGGGCGAGCGGAGCATTAAAATCTTGATACCGGTCGCGACAAAAATTTAGGGTAGCTTGCCGAATGCCTCGTTACTCGAATTTGATGAGACGCCGTCGAGGGAATTTCGGTTTTCGAGCCTTTGGAACCCGATGTCGATCCTTCGCGGTATCGGCGGACTAACGTTGAATCGTTGCCGAATCGATTCGCTTTAACGGACGTACTTCCGTCGCCGGTGTAGGACGGTTCACCGCTATTACCATTTGTCTTCCCGTAATCGGTACGCGAGTTAGCCGAGGGTCCATCCGCGCGTCACCTGCCCTGTATAGGCACTTCCATTTTAAATATATCAGGCTGTCGGTGTTGGATAACAGGATCTCACGCCGGGTACCGAGCCGGCTAACTTGCTGCAACCTAACCCACTCGCTGGCACCGCCAAGGAGAACTCGCTTCGAGCTCTCCCGAGAGGTCCGCGCGTCACCTTGGTCCTCGGCCTCCTCTCGCGCCTCCACTTCCATGTATCTCGCGTGCTCCCCGGATTCCGTACCTATTTTTTGCAGGCGTAAACTCTCCGCGTCCAGTTAATGCAATTACCGCGGTAGTGTCTTCTTCCTCCCTGGGACATTTTATAGTTTTCCCCCCTCCGTCCACCTTCGATGAAGCGCGGTGGAACTCGAAGCCGGGTTTCCAAGGGACAATGGGTACTTTATACGTCACCCTGGAAGAGGGTCGGATGGTGCGTCCATCCTCGACTTACCGATGCCTTTTTTCGTTACTTCTCGCGGTGAGTCGCGAAGTCGCGGAGTTTCTCCTCGGCTAGACCCGGGACACCCTCGTGGTTCGTCCCGGTGCTTTGGGAAATTCCATCTCGTTGTCGGGAAGACGCCACGGGGGTGTACGAGGAGGAACGCTCGGCCACCCCTTGAGAATTGCGATTTTTAAAAGGAAAAAAGGGGAAAACTGGAGTTTTCTTGGGACGGAAGGGAGGGGCAAACAGGGAGCCGTCAGCCCCACTCGAAAGTCGGCGAGTCCCGTCCGATGAATAATTCAGGGTGTCTTGATCCGGTCGGCTGACTGCGGATCGCTGCCGCGGACAGACGGATGGACGGACGGATTCCCGGCCTCTCAATCGACGTGGGACTCGTGATTTCTCCTTCTCGTCCTCTCTCGACTCTTCGGCTCCTTTTTTCCTCTTTGCCGGCGCGTCCCTCTCCAGCGGCCCGCGAGCTCGGTCGCGTCGTCTCTCTCGGCGCTTTCGGCACGCTCAGATTAAGATCGCAGCTCCAAATGTCAGAGCCGCGGCTACCGGCTACCGGCTGCCGTAGAAGGCAGTCACGGGGACGAGTCGCCTCCTTTGCTCCAGGCCGGGATTTCGGAAACCGGGTGGTCGAACCCCGCGCCGCGCTCCTTGCTCCCGGAGGATCCGCCCTCGTTACGGGGTTCCGCTCCTTTTCGAATTTCCCGTATTTTTCCTCCTTTTCTCCTGCCCGTCCTGCAATCGGTGTCGATTTCACGGTGAACGGCGTTTTCGTTTCATTTTCCATGTTAGCAATTTGTTTTTTTGTTCCTCTGGAATTGTTTTTACTCGGACTCGGAGGTGTTCCACCTTTTCTTCTTAACAACTGGGTGGAATTTATATTTTCTACCCTTTGCATTTTTGTGCCGTTCCCCGGTTAAATTTCAATGGCTCGGGCTCTTGAAGCACAGGGCATCATTAACCGGTCCGACAAACGTACGAGCCTTGAACCGGACTCAGCACGAGCTACTAATTGGCGAGAAGTGCCTCGGTGACAGTGCTCTCGCCATGGCGTTGCATGGTAGCCCTGGCCAGGGATTAGAATTGACAAAGTCACCACCACCGCCGTGCTTATGCTCGGCTTAATGGCGCGATTCTTCCCGGCGTCCACCTGACCTAAGCATACCGGGTGCCCCTTTGGCATCCCGATTTTATTTATCCCCTCGCTGTATATCGAACGTTCGATGCAATTCGAGTTATGAACCGCGAATCTTAGATGGGCGTTGTTTCATGGGATGTGGAGGCACATCCGCGTTTTCGGGAAACTCGCGAGCGGTTATAATACCTATAAATAGCCGCGCAATATTAATATCACGCACGACGTCACCGTGCTCCGATTTCAAATTAATCGGAACCAAGTACGAATGTCAAACACGCGAGAGCGAAACGGAACATAAGCTACAAATTGACTCGGCAACGAAGGGGACTTTTGATAATGCTGCCTCGCTTTGACTTCCAGTAATGACGGGAAATTATACTCATTTTTAGTCGTAGCGGAGGTACAAAACAATTTGTCGGGGAAGAGACGAGCAATCAATGGCGGAAGGCGTTAAAGGAAACGGAAGTCGTACGTTTTGTTTTAAGATTACTGAAATTTACGACCACGCAAAATGGGCAAAAGAGGCACTAAGGGGTAATCGACGACATCCTGGATGCGACGACTCGCGATACTTTCCGAAGAGACACCCACGGTATACAAAGATGGCGCGAGGCCGTCTTGCGTGCCCTCGCCTTTTTTTCCTTGCATCTTTTGACGTTCCTTCTCGGAGCCTAATTGTATCGGGTGTCTTAATCAGCGTGTAAGCTACCGAGCCAAGGGCTGATCCGACACTCCTTCCAGCCATCTACCCCCGCCGAAATTCCCTCTCCATCGCCTCGCTCTGCATCTCAAAGGAGCAATTTAAAAATATGTTAAGCCCCTGGCGCGTTATACCCGGTGTTCATCTTTCTCGCGGCTCTATAAACGACGTAAATGTCGGAAAGCCACGCTTTCTCGTCCAACGGTTGCCAAATGCCGCCCAAAAGCTCCGGCATAATTAAAAGAGGAACGCGTCAAGGGTTAAGCGGGAAAGGAGGGTGCCCGCTCGATATCGTCCACTGACACACGTGACCGGCTTTACCCTAAAAAGCAATAAACTCCGGTAGGAAGTCCTCCTGCAGCGACACCGCATCGATATCCCTACAAGATAATAACACAGCCGACTCCCCACTGCAGGGGTGGAACGTACCGAACGCCGCTGCGATATCTCTCCAAAGATGTCGCCGCCGCGCGATCGTTTGATCCCGCCGACTGATCTTATATTGCGAACATATGAATGCACCCACGTGCACTTTGCACCCGCGGGCAAGACATAGGAAAAGCTAACGATGATGGGGACCGTATCGAAATCTCGTTGAAAATTCAATTTCATTACAACAACCGTCGACGCGTATTAACGCAAGGTTTTGCCGTTTTACGGAAATCGGATTATAAAGTTTATGGACTGAAATCGATAGAAATCCATTCCATTCCGCCTCTACCGTTCCTTGGTACTTATATCATACCCCTTTCCTCCCCGACCCTCGCGCGCTGTACCTTCCTTGAATTGACTAGCTATAATGTCCGCCGTCCGAATTCTTACGGTGTTAATCAGATTCGCCATTTCTTTCGCCGTTGTATATGATGCAGCAAACGCTGAGGATGACTGATGACCTTTGTTATGTGGGTGATTCTAGTGGGGCATGTGTTCGGGGGCCGATGCGGCGCGGAGGCGCTCGGACTGGGCCTGGGGCTGCCGCTGGGCCCGGCCTACAGGTTCGCTCTGCCCCCGGTACTCGCTGCCAAGACCACCCGCTGCCTTGTGTTCGACCAAGGTAGGCTACCAGCCATCTTCCTTACCGCGACCGCGTGGATCGAGGAAACGGATCTCTATGCCTATGACCCACCGCCTTATCCACCAAGCACGAGCCAGATACTAAACCGCGTCTCTGCTACCGCCATTAACCACCGCCTCGGCTCCCGATAGTTTGCTCCTCGGATGGAATTAACCCTTTACCCTCGATATTCGCCCGCAAGCTTCGGATTTTTTTTTTTTTCGAACCACCTCCCCAACCCGTCCCTCGTTCCTAAGTATACGCGTCCCCGCTTTTTCTCGCCATCTTGACACGTCTCCCGATGCCGCTTATCTCATCTTCCTTGCATTCGATGTTGTTCTTTGTGCTAAGTATAAACGAACTATCGGAGTAGGGAGCTCCCGCGGGGGCTCCAGAAATAGTTCTTCACCTAATGGGTGTGCAGTCTTTGTCGCATGTCAGCTGACTACTCGATATTAACCTTTACTCGTAAGACCGAGAACGCTCGGGTGGAAGTAGGGTTCGTGTCCAAAGGTTAAACGCTTAACCCTAGATGTTATTAAAAATCGGGCAATGAAATTACAGGAAGGCTTTTTCTCCGAACGTTTCCTACATTGTCCGGCCAAAAATGTCCGTCGGTACGAGCAAACGTTGCAGGTTACCGTTCTGTTTATCCTGCGAGTCCGCAATTTGCATCGGTCTACTCGTCGAAAACATATTTCAATATCCGGTCTACTTTGCCCCGACCCTCGAAAATACGTTTCAATATCTATTTCCGGGCCGCCCTGTTTTTCACTCGGCATTTCCACCCCTTTCTGCTCGCACTTTCTCTCTCCGATACCACCAAAACTACCCTCTACGTGTTTTTTTTTTTTTTTCCAATCCGTTTTCATTTCGTGTCGGTACATATGCATCGAGTCCCCGCTCTTCTTGTCAGAGTGATCGGAAATCATAAACTATTTGTATGAATAACCAGACACGGATAATACCGATTTACGAGGGCACAAGCTATTTATTTTTCGGGGCCTATGTGTATGAATTTTTGTGACAGATTTCATAAAACGTTTTAAACCGTTGTAACCGTGTAGGAGTATTCCGTTGCATGTTTTACGCGTTATTTTTAAATTCTTCGCACAGGGGTCAATTAAATAGAGGAACGTACGCGTCGTACTAAATCTGTACAACTTTGAATTTTACAAATAATTTCGGAAATAATAGGAAAGTAATTAAAATGAGAGCGATTCGTTGGTGCGCGGATAAGAGGCGCATTTATTCGCCCGTCGACTAGAATTGACATCCCTTCCTGCTCCGATTGTTCGTCACATTTCGGGAGGCAGTGATTCACGAAGTGACGAATTAATCGGTACAAAGTAAAGACCAATGGGGATGACAGAGGGTGAACACGATCCGAGGGCAAAGTGGTCCGGCTAAGAGTGTTTCCTCCCCTTCGATTCATTCAATTGTGAGCTTTCCTTTGATTACGATTAACCTCCTGGTTCCCGATAATCTTTTTATTAATTGCAAAGCATATTTAACCCGTTTGCATCACTAGCACATAAATCCTCGAAAGGGTTACATATGCAAAAAAAATCGTGGGACGGCCCCTGGCCCACAATTTGAGGAACACTCCCAATTAGCACCTGCGTGTCACTTTTCAGTGGACGTGGACGCTTTCTTCGGTCGTTGAAATAAAATAATAAAACGATAATTTTATTTTATTTATATATATTGTGTAAAAGCGTGAGCTCTGTCGGAACGTTTCCATTTGACGGAAAATAGGGGCGATTTCTAGGTAGGATAACGATCTCGAGAATTGGCGGAAAACCGGCGAAAAGTTCGGGCGGAACGGCCGCGACGGAACTCGTCAGGCCTGTAACGACCGAGAGTGGCCGCGTCTCTCACCTCGGGCTCCTCTCCGAATCGTCTTCCTTTTACGGCTAAATTAATGTTTAGCCTCAATAAAATCGGCCTTCCACCTCCACCCCTTCCGAGCTGCTCCTTTCGCTCCCCGCGGCTCCGTCGAGCCTCGAAAGCCGAACGCACCGCGGCCAAGGACTTTACGACGACTTTACCACTCGTCCATAAATACGCTAGGCGGCGGCCGCTCCGCCGCGTTTCAAACGCGAATTACCCGAACGTTAACGGAGATAATAAGAGCCCGGGAGGGCGCGACCATCGAACGCCACGTCTCGTGGATCGCGATGGATCGCCAAAATATTAACCTCCCCGTTTCGCTTCTTTACTCCGAAAGGTGTTTCTGGGTCTCGGTTTAGTCTTTGATATCGCTCCTCGATAAATACGTTCGATTCGGGGCGTCGATGTAGGTTTTAAGAAATTCCGGCTCCGGTCCCTTCTTATTTATTTTCTCCTTGACCCGAGCGAAGGGGGAGGGCCGAGGTGGAGGGCGACGGGGACGAGTCTCGATATTTTAATAAAGAATATTGCAAATGGCCACCCACTTACTTAGTCACGGCGAGCGATTGCGATAAATTAACGGCTCGCGCTTTATTCTCCTCTCTTCGCCCTCTTTCTCCGCTTCCTCGCTGCCGGAAGGCGCGAACTCGCTAAAGACCGACCTCCTCCTTATCCTTTCGCCTCCTCTTCCTCCTCTCCTTTCCTTCCCTTCCCTCTTTCGCTCCAGGGCGCACCCTCGGCCGCGAGCTGGCAGCGTTTTTAATTACCGCTTTAATTAGTCTAGTGTCCGATCGACTTAGCTTCTTTTTCGGAATACGTCCGGATACCGCATCGTACTAGAAAGAGTTCACTTCCCCTTTGCATATTCTCGGCCTTGAGTAATTGAGCTCGTTGAATCCTTTCGCGGACTCGGTCGTTACGGTAGGAGGAAAAGGTGAAAAAATCGGGATCGCGTTGGGGAGTCGAGACACGGTTATCCGGTCGCTGTTTCGGTCGGTCAGGTGCCCTAAGGAAGTCGGGGATGGCTCCGGGGTAGGGTGGCTCCTGGAGGTGGAGGAAGAGGTAGGGGCTTCCTCTTATTACCACTTCATCTGCAATTAACATTTATGGGCCTGCGACTCCGCTTCGTGGAAAAACTAATTAAATATTCGCCGAGCTGCGCGGGAAACGGTGGCCGTTACTCCTTGCAACCCTTGACTGTTAAGCCGTGACTTAAGGAGGAAAAGGAGGAGCAACGGGCCAGGGGGAGGTGATAAAGAGAAAAGCCGTAGAGAATAAATTAAACGATCGCCAATTAAAATCACTTCGGAACGGGTGTACCTTTATTTTCTAACCTTCTTTATCTTTTTCGCGTTTTAATCTCTCGGCCGCGTCTTGGGAGAATTTTATTAAACGCTCGTCGAACGAATCGGCGAATTATGAACGTCGATTCTTCGTAGACGTCCACGTCGCGGAGTGGGCAGAAATTACTCGGGAAAATTGAGTTGCACTTAATTATTCGTCGTCGGGATTCGGATTCGATGTGTCCATTCATTCCGTATGGCAAGAATCGTCGTGGCTAACTGATTGCGAGTAAATATACCGTTCCTTTTTTCTTTTTCGAGTTCGGTTTCAATCGGCGAATTGGTGCCCGGTCGGGGTCTCTCGTTCTCTCCCGTCCCGCAGACGCGGCGAGAGCGACCGCGCGGCGGCTGTAAGAATATATAAATTTTAATGGCGGTATTTTAATGTTCCCGGTTTCGGGCCTTTAAGTTAGTGGTTTTCCTAGTAGCGATCTTCGGCCTGCTCGTAATCAGCGACGCGGGCGCGAACCCGCCGCCATTTCCCGGAGCGGCTTGTAATCAAATTTTGTTGTTCCGCGAGCGGATTTTAATGGCGGCTCCACGTTTTCGTATCGCGCTCCTTCTTGCACCTCCTATTGTGCGTGGCTTTACGGGACGCTTAAACATCCGCTAACCGTGATCGTCGTCGAATACGGCCACTATTACAAGAAGTCGAAAATAAACCCGCAGTCGATCAACCCGTCCGTGAAAATGATTTTCGATCATCTAGTAAAATCCCGTTCAGCGTGGAAAATTCAATCGAGTCATTGGAACCAAAATCGCGATATCTATTCGAGGGTCAACGACGGAAACGCGTCAAATTTTGGATAAGATATTTTCCGGAGCCGTCCTTTGGAGCGAGAAAATTTATTCGTCGATCTGCTTTCTTGCGGATTAGGTTTCTTATCACGGCAAATAAACGAAACACCGACTTGCAAAAATTGCTCGTCCTCTCTCGGACAAGCTCGCGTGGGCATTCGAAGCTCGTCACACTCCGCTGCTCGAAGATCCGAAAAAAATCAGGGGCGGCCTTCGCAGGGTGCTTTAAGAGGGGCTGGGAGAAGCGGAAAGAACGGAATTTAATTAAGTGAAATTACTGTCGCGCGAGAAGGCGAGAACCGGCCGACGAGACGAGAGGGACGATGCGCCGAAAAGGTGGCGACGGCCCTTCTCTAGCGAGGCGATACCGCCGGGCAGTAATGATCTCTGCCGCTGATAAAACTAAGTAATAAAAAGTAAACGAATTCCCAGCTTTCCGCCAACTTTTCCCTTATTTCGCCCTATCGACTTTCCCCTGGTCTTGGCCCTTTGCATTGACTCATTCCGATCCAAAAATGACATTCATCCCCCACGGGTGACCGTCCACGAAGAAACCCCGATTCCCCTAAATTTCCGCCTATTTTTAAATGACCTATACGTAATTCAGACATTAATAAAAAAAATGCACGAACCTCCGCTTTCAACGTCTAAACCCGAAAATTGGTGAAAATCCGGCGTCGTTGGTCGGGATCCGCGTTATCGGCCGCTCGGTCACTCTTCGACGGATTTTCCCCCGCATCCGGGAGCTTCTTCTATCAGCGGAAAATGGCGGTGAGATACGAGAGTCCTCGTCGGTGTCAGGGTGGGAAACAGGAGGGCATAATCACGATGTGTTACTACCTATTTGTCGGCGGGTCGTAACAGCGTCGGAGGTGTACAGGGGGTGGTGACATCGACGTCGAAACGTAGAACGGCAAGCCGGCAGCGTGTACGGGGTGCAGAGGGTCGGCAGAGTGCGGGGCGCAA